ACAATGACATGGATAGAAACAAATAAATAACAGTTAACTAAAAATAAATAAGTTTGTCTGTAGAAGAACATTACTTCTTATGACAAGAAACTGTAAGGGATTTAACAGTTCACAAATGCATAATTTTTACCGTAAAACTTTCCACTGATGCCAGTAAAATAATGAAACTCCCATAAACTGTGCTTATTATCATCATGCATTATGGGATGTATTTGCATAATGAATAGGTATTATGTTGTTATTACCATTCTTTTCTGTTACCTGATACTGCTTGTTCCATTTTTTCAAGTTTTCAGGCACAGGGAAAAGAAGATTCTTGATTCTTCAGGAAGACATTTGGGCTCTCAGCTGTGGTAATTTCATAGAAAGGTAATGACAACTGAAAATGTTTCACTCTAAATCTATCAGTAGCACATTATTATCCCATCACTTCAGAACCATTGGGATGGACATTGCTTTCTCCCTGCAGCTCTGTGACGCTCGGCTATGCAAGCAATAATAACTTAACCTTAACCTTGGAGTCTGCAAGCCTTTCCACGGGTGTTCTATCAAAGTATGAACTAGCAATACATTTCAAATGTGGTTAGAAACTTCAGCAGATACACACACACACATATACACAAGACTTCTATTAGCTTTAACAAATACCAACAACTTTCATGTTTTTGCATGAGTGACAGCATCTGTATCAGGGAAAAGAAAAAGAAGCCCAGATGCTGTCTGAGACAGCACAGGTTAGCAATACTCAGGTTACTATTATTCAGGACAGGCAGAATGTTTATTTACAGAAAGGGTACACTAAGCAGTCCAGCATTAAAGAAGTGTTCCAGTGGATATAATTTTCCACTGACCACTATCTCTCAAGAGATACTCAGCTGTGGTGGAATGCCCAACAAAAGGCATTAAAGACCTCCGAATGGCAGTCTCACAGACTTGTGATTTAATCCTTTTGCTCTTTGTAATACAAGAAATTGTCAGTACTAGTTCAGAGGTGCATAGTTAAAAAGCATTTCTATCTCTAGCCATACTAGAGATAGGCAGAAAGATCCATTTTAAAATAAAATTTTAAAAACCACAGATTTACCTTGTAAACTACCACTCAAAACTTTCTTAAATTCCATTTTATTTATGAATTGAATTCCACTAGAGAAATGTGGAATGGAACAGTAAGTTCTAAAGAATGCAATTTTAATTATGTTACATACTGCCTCTGCTTTAATTATGTAAAATAGTATTAAGTAACAAACTGTTTATGCATGAAGTGGATAATTAATACATCAAAAAATATTATGATAACTGGGTAATGTTGTCTTTTTAGCTCTTCCCTCTTTCACCTCTTCAAACTCTCAACTGGAGTAACAGTCAGAGAAATACCTGTTCCAGGCTGGGGTAATGATGAATTACATTTTTCCTGTTGATCTTTCAAACACAAAGCACTTGTTCTGAAGAACTGAATCAACAACCACACAGGCCTGGAGAGGGAGCAATGCATATTTCATTATCTCCCAAGTGTAATGTTTTTAACAGCATTATAGGCACAACAAAAAAATGGAGCAAAAACTGAACACACATTTTGGGGTTATCACTAGCCTCAACTCCAACTCTGTTACTCATTAGGACTTTTTCTAGAAGGGGGAAGGATGTGAAGCAAACTTGCCCACAATTTTTATCCTCTTTTTGGGAAATGCCAAATTAAGCTATGAATTAACAATTGAACCCAACTGTTTTCAACTGACTTTGATTGTATTTTTAATACTAATTCGCATTCTTTAAAATTCATAACAGCTCACATTTTTACTCCTGGAGTCTGGCTAGTACAGCGCCATACCTGAAAACATATTTGTGGGAAATGCTTAAACAGTTCCAGCATTTCACAAAGACTGCTCAGCATCCCCGCAGTTAGCCTTGCCTAAGCAGTGCAGTTCGCACCCTTCTGGAGAGTTTGCTGTGCGCTCTGGGGCAGCCGCGCGGGTCCCGGTTCCGACGGCGGGCGGGACGCGCGGAGCTGTCTGCGGTGCTGAACCGGCGGCGGCCACGGCGCCCCGGCCGCACCCGGGGGGCTCCGGCGCCCCACCGCACACACACCGCGGCCTGGCCGCGGGAACGGACGGGAACCCACTCGTCTTACGCTGCTGTATCACTTCCCGCCTTGGGAAGAATCCTGGCAAACCTTTATAAACTTCTCTCCCAACTCCCTTAAAAAAAGAGGAGCAAGTCTGGGGCAGATAAACTCCGGAGACTGGTTTAACTGGCTGACTTTTCAAAACAAAGCAATGTCACTTCAAGAGAAGACTAAAGCCACCTGCTGTGCTTCTAGGCACTGTCCCATGGACATCCTTGCAGCATGGCTGTTTGATCTTCCTACCAATAAATCAAGGTCAAAGACTACTGAAAAGAATGAAAAAGCTGACTTCCACTTGCCAGCATTCTAGGTCAACAGTAGTTTTTCAGTCAGAATTTATCCTGCACTCAGTAATAATCACTAAACTGTCAGCTCTGTATTTCCCAACATTTTTCTTTACCTCATGCTTTGTAGAAAAATCCACTTATGCAAAGGTTAGTTTGCTCCCGTACGAAAGGGAGCTGCAAGCTGAATATACCACAGCTGCAAGCTGAATACAGCCACCTTCTCTTCAATGGAACAAATTTTCCTCTCTCAATGAATTCCTGCTTATTTACACTATAACAAATATTTAAGTATGTTTCAGACAATAATCAGAAAAGAATGTTTCAACGGCAACAGGACTGACAAACAGTTGGTGCAAAAATCCTCCAGGACACAACCAACCAGCTGTGGGCTCTGTTCTGCAGACGTTATTCATTCTTCTGCACAGAGCAGAACGTTTGCTTGAATTAATGACACATCTGCCTTCAGAAAACAGTCTGCTTTAAAGGTTTTTTAAAAAACATTACATTATCACGGTTACACAATATCTTCTTTTGCCTGGAGAACATTATGTTCTTAGCCAAGGGATTGTAAAGATATATTTTCTCCCCAGGTGTCTAGTGCAACATAGATTTTATTACCATAGAATTGACATAGCCTTTGTCCTGCACTCATCATCATATTTTTTAAAAGTCAAGTGCAAGAAAAACACACTATGCTTAAATTCAAAAGAGAGCAGATATCTAACAGCTAGAGAAGGTACTACATCCTTTCCTTCCAAACTCCTTGTAACAGAGAAGTTCTCTTTATTTTTGATGTGAATGACAGAACCTCTTGAAGCTGCAGCTCCTCCAGGCACTGTCATGACTACTGCAGTTTCTGGTGTCTCTCATTCTGAAATATGGGTATTTCAGTTTTACAGGCAGGTATACTTGTCCTCTGTCCAGCAGCACTGAAAACTACATTAAGCGTGATTAAGCCATATGATTGCACAACTCCTGCCATGAAGTTGCATACATGACAAAGTTCTTTAAAATGATCAGTTTAAAAAACCAACCAAAATGGAATGACAATTTAAAAAAAATATTTCTTTTCTGATCCATAAGGGATCTGATTCCTAAGACAGTGAAAATTTTTAAATCCTTACCTGAAAACACCCAACAAACTATTGAATCTTGGAGTAACTATTCAGTATAAGCTGAGGTACCTGCATGGACCTACAACTATTTCATTTTCATTCAACTATTTCATTCAACCATTTATCTTTCATAAAATTCTTCATTTAAAGTTTCTGAAAAATGCATAGAATATTTTAAACATTTGGAGAGGGCTTGTTTTATGCTTTGCTGTTCATGCCTGAAGAAATATTATGGAAAGATACACCAGATAAGGCTCCCACACTGCAGGAGTGCTACTTATTTATTTTTATACTGATAAAGAAACCTGTTCTTCAGTAGTCCTGTAGTTTATAAATTTGCTCTCTCTCCAGAACACTTGTTTATTCAATACAATATCATTTAAAAACTTTTAATATCTTTGACATTAATGCAGAAAACTTGGGTTCTGAGCCAGGAAAAGAAGTTTTGCATGTGCAAAGACCGTACAACCTGATTCAATTTGGCAAAAAGTCTTCCATGGCACAATACTTTTCAAACACTACCCTTAGTAGACCATGTACCATTTCATATTGAAGGTACATGCTTTCATTTGCACAGAAGAAGAATTGTACTGTATAATGCTTGAGTTTTTACTTTTTATTTAACTGAATGGTACCACTGGAAAAGTCTTCATTGCCCTTGAAACCTGACATTTCAGTCTTCAGCTCAAGGAGTCTCTGAAAAAGCAAACGCACTATATCTATGAGTAAGATTATTTTGCCCTTCAAAACTTTGAATTCTGTCTGTTGTACCCTTTGGTTGAGCTGAAATGCTGCATTTTAATTTCTTGGTCGAAAAAAATGCAACTGAAATTAGGACTAAGTCACCTGGACAGAACCTGTGACAGTACCTGTGAGGTTTATTCTATAGTTTTGACCATTATGTTCCTCTTACCTTTAGCCCTATCCTTCCTAACACTTTTCTCTGGTCACATTCCTAGACACTACAGCATTAAATAAAACAAGTCAAATATCAATCATCCCCCTCCTTTTAAACACTCTCCTAGAGTACACTCCTATTTCAGACAGCTCACTGAGGATTACATACCTTGCACAGAGAAGACCATTAACCTTACTGTCAAGAGAAAACGCGCAACATGAAATTTAGTCACTGAAAAATAAAAGACTATTGCTGCACATCTGCTGCAGGAGACGACAGGCACATCACCTAGAAAGCAGGTTATAACCTTAAGGCTAGGCAGTCCTATAGCACAACAGTCCCTAGCAGGCAGAATTCCCTAGCAGGCAAAGCTTCCTGGCTGCTCTCTGCCCGTCGTTTGGTGCCCGTCTCCGGGGCTGAGGTCCATTCACCAACTTCGGCAGCCTTGCAGAGACCACGCTTGCTTTCTGAAGCGGCAGGACGCGCCCAGTACTTACCAGCACAGCTACCCTGGACAAACCGCCTCGCACCCCCACCTAAGCCAGCCACGCTCCCTGACCCACAGAAGGAAACGTTACCTGGATTTCTCTTGCGTGGTACACGATGATAAGCCCGAGCAGGATAATCGTGGAGAGGCTAATAAGGCATTTCAGAGCGAGGGAATACAGAGACTCCTGCAAGAGAAAGACACCGCCGTTCCTCAGAGAACCCACGCGCGGGGCCGCTCCGCCGCACCGCCACCCCGGCCCGAGGAGGCGGCCGGCGGCACCGGACAGCGGGGACACCACGGCACGGGGACGGGGCGGGGGCCGCGGGCGGCGGGACCGGCTGCCGCCTGAGCTGATACCTTGGTGTAGGCGCCCCAGGAGAGTTCGGTCTCGATGACCATGACGACGATGCCGAACATGCCGAAGATGAGCGCGTAGTCGCTCAGGCGCTTACGCTTCTCGAAGAGAGCCCGGCGGTGTCCCAGCTTGTAGCCGATGTTCTGGTTCTTCTTCTTGCTGGACTTGCCCCCGCCGTTGTTGGAGCTTCCCGTGCCGGGGCCGGGGCCGGGGCCGGCGGAGCTGTACAGCGCCAGGTTGTTGGAGTTGTTGTGTTCGGGCTTGGAGACCACGATCTCAGGGGCGGCGGGGCTGCCGGCGGCGGGGGCAGAGCCAGCGGCAGCGGCGGCGGGGCTGGCGAGCGGCGCCTGGAGAGGCTGCGACTCGGAGTCCAGATCGTGCAGGTTCCTGCGGGACGAGCTCAGGTTGCTGAGCGGCCGCATGACGCCGCCGTTGTACCTGCAGCTGCTCATGGCTATTTCGGTGAAGGGGTTGCTCTCCCGGCGTTGCTGCTGCTGGTGATGGTGGTGGTGATGGTGATGGTGATGATGATGGTGAGTGCTGCTGCTGCTGACACTGCTGCTGGGGCTGGCTGCCTGCTTCTGCTGCAGGCTATGGCACTGGTGGTACTGGGAATATTGGTGAGGCTGTCTGGACGCGCCAGCATGGCTGGACGGGGTGAACTCGCTGACGTTCAGCTGGCTGCCGTGCCGGGAGGAGGCGGCGGAAGACAGCGGCGAGGAGTGCGTCCGAAAGGCGCCCGAAAGCGGCGAGGAGGCGCGGAGCAGCAGGGGCAGGTTATCCCCCGCGGCTGCCGCAGCAGCCCCGTAGTAGGCGCAGTTGTTGCACTGGAGGCACGGGCTCTGCTGCTGCTGCTGCTGCTGCTGGAGGCTCTGCTTGTCCTGGCCGTGCTGCTGGCAGTGCGGCGGCGCCGGCGGGCGCTGCTGCTGCTGTTGCTGTTGCTGGTGCTGCTGCTGCTGCTCGGGGCCGAAGCCCGCCGGGAAGTGGCGCGGCGGGTCCATGCCGGGGCCGTTAAAGCCGCAGGAGGACCGGGCGGTGGTGCACCCTGCGCAATGCGTGACGGTCGGCAGGGGAGCGTCCTGCTGCCGCCACGACGGGCCCATCCCGGCTCCCGTAGAATCCAGCCGCCGCGTCCGATTGGTCGGGCGCACCAAAACAACGGGCATCACGTCACCTGGCGGGGGCGGAGCGGCCGCGCCGTCAGCGGGGGGCGCGAGGCCCCCGCCCGCGGGGATCCCGCCTCCCGCCCCCCGCAGGTGAGGGCTGCCCTCGCCCCCCGCCCGCCCCGCCCGCGCCGCGGAAACCCGGGGCTTCCCGGGGGCGGGGAGCGCTCTCGCTCCCGGGATCTCCCCCGCCTGTCGGCGAAGGGGCTCCGCCGCGGCTCTCCCCGGCGGCTCTCCCCGGCTCCCCACTCACATCTGCGCCGTCTCCGGAACATGGGCGCCGCGTCGCGCTCCGGAGCTGTCCAGCAGCGCCGCCGCCGCCGCCGCCCTGCAAAACACAGCGTCGGGCTCTCTCCGCGCCCGCCGCCCCGGGCCGCGGAGGGCTGGAAGGGGCCGCGGCCGCGGCGCCGGGCGGGGAGCCCTTCCCGGCATATCCCCGGCCTGTCACGAAGGACGGGTGGGGGGGACGCGCGGCTTCTGCCGGCTGCTCCTTCTTCCCTCAGCCGAAGGAGGGAGAGGCGCAGCCGGGGCGTGAGGCCAGCGGCAGCCGGGGGAGGTTCGAGGGCTGCAGACCTGCTCCGTCGGGTCGGCAGGAGCTGTACCGTGAAACGGGGCCGGTGTCATTGAGTAGGTCCCCTCCGTCTCCGGCTCCCTGCCATGCACTGCCTGAAGTTGGTTCTCCGCTGCCATTTTGCCTTTTCCCCTTTCTTTGCCTCTCAAGTCCCCACTGAGTAATCTGCTCTGGCAGCTCCGTTAGGCAGAGACATGTCTGCATCAGGTAAAGTCTGCTTTCTGCATTTATTTAAGGAAAGGTTATTTAAGGAAAGAATTATGAAAATGAGACGTGGTTTACCTTGTTACAGCTGTGTCATTCCTGTCAGCTGTCAACTAGGCAAGACTATAAGAGAGGGGTTTTTTGTTGTTTTTTTTTTTTTTTTCTTCCCAGACAATATTTGATACCATGGAAGACTTCCTTACATCTTTAATTTCTCGGCAATGTTAAAGACAAAATCCACCAAGCCTTTCTAGGATAAAAGCCCGCATCCTTATAATTTCTGTGTCTCCTGTGACATTCAATTTACTTTGAAATCCTTACATGAGTTGTAGGTTAGAAAGATGAGTGAGGCAGTGTCATTAACAACGTTTTAAAATACGCTCTGTTATAAAATTTTAAAGTTAATTCCTAATCAATATGTAGCTTTTAAAGCAAGCACATGTATCACCCACACATTGAAACAACCCTCACTAATGTGGTAAATATCATGTGTTACAGTATAGATAAATTATTTACAGACAGACCAAAATTCAGTTATCTTTACATAGCATGTTATTTTGAAAAGCACTCATAAGTGGGAATATATATGATACAAAAAATCATAATGTCTTGTGATAAAAAAAAATTTTCTTACAACCAAGTTTTGAATGGAAATCTACACACACTTCATTCCACAAATGATAAAATACTTTCATTTTTAAGTTACACGGAAGTACATCTGGATGCTCAAGATTGCACTAATTTCCCTGAACACCAACAGCCAAGATAAAAGGTTATTCTTAAGAATGAACAGGCTGTTTAGTGCAGCTTCAGATATTCCATTTTCTTTGGAAAAACATGGACTGTACTTCTGTCTTGCTTGTCCCATTTTTGCCTGTTTTTTGAAACACACATGAATCTCAGGAATCTTTGGAAATTAAAATCCCAGGGAACCTGGGCTTCTACTGTCTTGCTGAACCATGGTTTCAAAATACATGTTTTGTGAACTAGGTAAAAATTAGATAGGCAAGGTTCCATCTTTCCTTTTCTGTTTATTCTGTGTCCTTAATTTTTCTTAAAGGTACTTTCTTTTAAGCTTTCATTTTACCAGGATATAAATGCTCATGACCTAGTTTACCTTGAAAAGCCTTTTAAGAAATTTGTAAATCTCCATGTTTTATTTAGAAGTCATCAAGGCTCTGTCCTGTAACTTAATCTACTCTGATCATGGAAGCTTATATTAGAATTGTGAAGAAGAAGAAAAAAAAATCTTTTTAAGGTCTTGTTATACTAAAATATCTGATATCTTTATGTGGGGAAATATATGATATCTGTGTGAGGAAATGATCACATTTGTTTTCTAATTCATATATACAAGTCACAAGTCCCAAATGTTATACCTCTGCTTCTGCTATCCTGTTTATTTGTTGAAATGCAAGGACAGTGCTGTTACAAGCTTTTAGACTTTACTGTCTTGTTCATTGTGTGAATAAAAAAAAATGAATATTCCCATGTCTAACACAAGAGGTCATACTCATCACACAGCTTGCTGGAAAACTGATAAGCCAGTTTTCACTTTAGTCTCATTGAGCAGTCTGGGATATTTTATCACAGTTTCAAGGTATAAACTAAGACTTGTGGAGAGTTTGCATTTTCAGAGCTAAATAAACCTTCCCTGCTGTGGCATGATTAATGAGAAAGAACAGAAATTAGCTATTTGTTCTATCTTCCATTGCTAAATAATTTTGAAGTTAATTTTAAAGAATGGATGTGTTTGTTTTCTGGAAAAAAAATCTATTCTTCGTGCGAACTTAATTGTTACATTATTTCATATACCACACATTAATTAGTGTGGCAGCTCAGAACTGCTCAATCATGCTAACATGGCAATGGTGAACACCTATGACAGAAACATCTGTTTGGGATAAAACTTCGGGGTTTTTCCTGCCTTTTCATTATATACTGAGTGGAACTGCTCTTACTGATTGTCTTAAGGCCTGTATCTGCTGTGCCAAAAAGGTTGATTTTACATGGGTATGTCTACATGCATGTGCATGCACACCTTAATATAAAGAGAGAAGCAGTTACTGCAGATCTCCCTTGATAATTATGATTAGTGGGGATATTTGGAAAAGAGATTTTTTTTCCCCTAACCTCTCTAATTGCAAGAACAAGATAAATACTGCCAAGCAGTATTGAGCTAAACTGTATTAACAACAGGACTGGAAACACAACAGACACAAGAAAAATTGGATTTTTGGGAGGATAAAAACCACTATGAAATATTTGAAGTGGCGTGGATCAGCTGGTCATTTGAAAAGCTCACATGGCAACATACAACGGAGATACATTTAGCCAGCTGATTCAGGTGCTCAGCAGGTGACTCTTAAATTATGCTTAATCAGACTACCTTTTATTATTCTCACAAATTGTTGCAGTTTTGTAACAGATAACTCAGTACAATTACTGAAATGCTAATTTAATGCATTTAAATAGTTTTTCCTATTTCAGCCTGTGCAAGAGCGCAGAGTGACTTTTAGCATGTGTGGAATTATCAAGTGTAAGAATTTACTTTTAACTGTGTAGAATGTTTTTGCAGAATTTTGACCTGTTAAATCCAGCACTTACATCTAAATATAAGATTATACCTTGCAGAGGTGGACGTTAGCAATGCTTTTTCTCTCTGTAAAATATGTCATCTGTGATTTGTGTAGCAACTGCTTCTAAATAATTAAATTTGCCCATGTTTAAAAGTAAGGTTGTTGGGTTTTTTTTTCCCCTATAGGTACTTAATTTTTAGTGCTCTGTTTAGCTTTAAGAACAGAATTGCTATAGATTTGTATTTTCTTTGTTCTATTTGGAAAGTTCCTTCAAGGTTACTTAATAACAGGTTCCCTTATTAGGCTGTAAAATGTGAAAGATGGACATTGCTTTTATCAGGTGTGTGTGAATGCTTTCAAATCTGTAATGGTAGGTTCTTCCAGCCAGTAACCCTCACAATTCAAAACATATAAAATGTAAGCTTCCTTCCTTGTGTTTATTGGAGGATTTTTTATTTGTTTCTGCATTCCTGATACCCTGAAAGTCTGCAATTTCTGGAGCATATTCAAATCTCCTGTTGCAGAAGTCTGTTTGTTTAGTGCTGTCATCATCACACCTAAAGTTTTATGGATGTGCTCATAGTACACGCAAATTTCAATGTACATTGTGGTCCTGCTTACAGAAATTCTCTCTCTAACAAGTCTGGAAAGTTTATGCACTTGCAGAACAAATGGAAGCAGAGAAAAGATGAAAGTAAATGTTCAATTTTTTGTTACCTGCAGTTACACTTCCTACTCAATATACTGTTGATTGTATTTATGTGCTTGTTTTTCTAATTTATGAAATGACTGGTTTGAGAAATGACTTTGGGAAGAGCATCTCCTTCCTTCCTAGCTAGCTATGTCTGCAGTACTTTATTTTCTCCCCTCCTCTACCTTTCACATTACCCCTCCTTCTCACCCTTCCCTGCTGCCGAGGAAACAGTACACTTACATTACTTGAAAGCACTTCTGAGGTGGTAGAAGACAGGGAAGCATTTATTAAAGTATGGAGTCACTCAAACATCCTCTGCTTCAAGCTGGGCCTGGCTGGGTAAACTGTACAGCTAAACAACTATTTGAAGCGATATTCCAGAACTTGATGGGAAATTTTATAAAATTGGCATTCCCTAAAGTATAATTCTTCTCACTTCTCTACTTTATCCCTTATTTCAATATTTTTCAGCTAGGGAAGAGTTAATTTTCTTCACAGTGGCTGTGTTTGGATTTGTGCTGAACACAGGGTTGATAACAGAGAGATGTTTATGTTGTTGCTCAGCAGGGCTTACACAGAGCCAAGGCCTTTGCTGCTCTTTGTGCTGCCACACGGGTGAGAAGTTGGGAGTGCATGAGAGGCTGGGAGGAGACACAGCTGGGACAGGTGACCCAAACTGACCAAAGGGATTTCCAGACCATGTGACATCATGCTCAGGACATAAAGCTGGGGGGAAGAAAGAGGAAGGGGGAATGTTTGCAGTGATTTCATTTGTCTTTCCAAGCAAGCACTACGCACGATGAGGCCCTGCTCTCCTGGCGATGGCTGAACACCTGCCTCCCCATGGGAAGCAGTGAAATAATTATCTTGCTTCACTTGAGTGCATGGCTTTTGTTTTCCCTAATAAACTGTCTTTATCTCAGCTCATGAGTATTCTGGCTTTTACCCTTCCCATTCTCTTCGTAGTCTCTCTGGTGGGGGACTGAGCAAGGAGCTGCCTGGGGCTTGTTGGCTGGCTGGGGTTAAAACACAACAACTTTTACATTAAATTCTACCCTATTCAGAAAATAGAATTTCTACAGAATTACGATTAATTCCTTCCAGATGGGTAAAAAATATCTTTGCAACCCAGTATATGAGATTAGTAGCTATTGTATTAGCAAAGTGATATTTAAAATACATATAACATAGTAGACTGCTTTAAAGAGTTTGGATAACCAGACAATTTCTCAACAGAAGAACTACTTTTTAAAAATTATTGTTCTTAAATTAAAAAATTATTATTCTTCACACATTCAAAATATATTCTACATTAGAGTAGTCCGATGTAAACATGCAAAATATATAAATAGTATGATTTCTTCACCCTGACTAGTATTTTAGATTATTTATCTTGTCAGAAGATCAAAACCAAGTTCAATGTGGAAAAGATCTTCCTATTTAAATTATGAAATCTCTGCTGTTACTGTTACAAAGTATGACCTGAATGTTCTTTCTCATAAAATATTACCAATATCGAAAATTTATCAGTGTTGAAGCTGGTCTAAATCAAACTAGCCTTTTCTGTCTCAAAAAGCCTGTCTTCTGGAGTAGAAAGTTTTTCGTAGAAGGAATCCATTTTCCCATTTGTGATCATTAAATAAAACATCTTCCTGTACTGTCTCAGGAAACAGCAGTGCAAGTGACAGTGTTGAAACAACAAGTCATCGAAGTCTTACACACTACTTGACCATGAAAAGTCTTTTCAAGAACAGAATTCCAGTATTCAGCAGGTCATGTTCTCTGAAGGGTGGAGCGGCAACATCTACATGTGCCTCCATGTACCTTGTTTCTAGGCCCTTGATCCCCACTCTGGAGTCTGGGGATGTGGATTCCAGCATGTAGCAACCCCAGTGTGCAGAGCTTCAGCTCATCAGAAGTGTCAACAGAGGACAGGACACGATCACAAATCCAACACTTAACAAATGGTTCTATTGAAAACTCTCTCCAGATGGGGTGGGAGCATAATATTTTCCTTTAAATACCATCAGGTATTGTGTTCACCTCTTAAATCTAAGGCATATGGATCTGGGTATGCTTCGCTTAAACACAGTAGGGAAGAAAAAGTTATTTTCTTTTCTGCCAGCCTGGATGAATTCCATCTCAGAAAGCAGGTCCTAAAAATCAAGCTGTACTGTAACTGAGGGAAGAAACAACCAATCTCGTCCCTTTACAACTGTCTGCTTATGAAATTTGAGATGATTCTTCGGTCACTGAGCAAGAAAGTACCCAAGTCACATGTTTAAACAAAAATCAAATACTCTCATCAGAACAGGAACAGGATCCCACCTCCACCCCCACAGAGAGGTGCAGAGAGGCCCTTTAAAAGGCACCTTTCCAAAAGCTGGGTGCATATCCTCACCAAACAGCAGCAACATCCAGTGCTGTCCCTTTTGGAGGAGCCAAAGGAACATTTCCAGCCTTTCTCATGACCAGGCTTCTATGTCTGCTTCAGTGCAGTATCAGCATTTGAATGCTCAAGGAAACACACAACACTTTGAACTCCAGATCCTAAAGCTGCTTTCAGAATTGCCCTGAAATTTTGAGGCTGGTATAGTATTTGCTAGAAATTTCTGACAACCTCTGGGAGTTTAATCTGACATTCAAGGATTGCTTATACTTTAAAACATGCCAATCTGTAGTCACCTGTAGTGACCTATAGTCACTGTTATTCTTTCATGTTAAATACAGCGTGTCATGTCTCCTATGTATGTTAGGTATGTGGGAAAAGGAGGATTCACTACAAGCTAAATGCCATCAAATTCATTTGTCATCGAGCTAATACACGTGTTAGTTTGGATGAGTTTTTTGCCCTGCTGCCCTTCTCATGCACATGCTACATAACTGACGGGACAGTTTTTCCAAGAGGTGGAGCTGCTATATTTCTGCTAGTTTAAAATAATTAATTTTAAGTCTCTGTATGCACTCTTTACTTACTTTGAAGAGCCACTTCAAAAAAATTGTTTTGGCAATTTTTTTTCAACTTCACCAGGATTTTTATGAATTGTGCTTTATGAGCACATTTTGCATAACAGAAAAAGGAAAAAATACTTTCTCTTTGACTCAAATATCCACAAATTTTATTTAGGAAGTGAAATGTGGCATTAATGAAAAAAAAACACGTATTATAAAAAGTGTGTCTATGCTTATTCACAAAAGTAAATCAATAAAGCCCATCTCTGCATTCTCAAATAATCAGCTGTAAGCAGTCCTTCTATGTTCCCTTTTCCTGTTCCCTTTTGTGCATGAGGGCCTTTGAGGTCTGGCAGTTAAGACTTGCAGGTGAACTGTTGTTTCTGCTTCTACACTCATGAATAGCCATCTATCCAGTGCACAAAAATACCAAAAGGATGGCACAAAAATGTCTCTACTCAGACCACTTTGTGCTGCCCTGTGGGGCTGGATCTCCCAAACAAATGCAGAAGTTTGCAAGGTCCTTGTTGGCTTAGTCTAGCAGTAGGATTATGGAATAAGGAAGAGAATAATGGCATCTATGAAAATATGTGTTTATCTATTTTCTTTTATTTGCAACCACAAAACCTCTTTCAGTTTCCAGTTTCATTAAAGATTAAAAAGAATTCCTAAATCTATTTTGATGTAAACCTGAATTACCTAATTACTCTGTAACAAACTAATTACTAGTAATAAACTACTCAGTTTTACTCCTTCTACTCTAGCTCAACTGCTTTGAGTGTAATGCTTTCATTTCTACAGGCAAGTATTTACACAGATCAAATGTATATGACAGATAATATTTGCTCATGTCTTTCTACAGAAGTGTCTCTTTGCACAAGTAAACAAGTATTTTGTAGACAAAATCCAAAGGCTTAATTTTGAAATCTGTCCTAGAGGACAGTGGCAAATGTAATTGCAGATTCTAGGTGAGGATGATAGATCTACAGCAAGCGAAGTACAGGAGGCACTATGAGGCATTAATAAAGAGACATACAATTATAGGGGTCATTTTCTAATGGAATGTAGTGATTTACATTTGGAGAAGGGTGGCTGCTTTAGGCAGGTGCAAACTCTGCCAATATTTTGGCAGGCACAAAGTCTGCCAATACACGTTTATTTCTACATATATACTTATGTAATAACAGGGCTGTGGGCAGGCTGGGAAGGTCGGCGCTAAAGCATTGAAAGTGATTGCAGAGTCACACACTGGAAGGAAGAGGGTAATTTCTGTTTATTATGATGCAAAGTGTGAACTTGCATGAAAATGTCCCCTAGTATGCTCATAAACAATTTCCTTGTAAGCAGGTAAAAACCTTTTAAGTAGAACAGTATTGCTTGCTGGTCTCTAGTCTGGAGTATGAAACTGACTCATGGCAGCAGAGCTAGAAATGAAAACAAGACAGCAGTCACTGTGAAGGAATCGTGGAACTATAGAGATGAATTATGTGAGGTGGAAAGAATGGCAATGAGGGATAAAAAAAGCTGCAACTCCTAAATAGATGTGACAGCAGATGTTTAAAAAAAATATCTGAGACATAGTGTTTGAAAAGGGTGCTTAAAAGGAGAGGTGATGTTTCGGCCAGAAATACAATACGTATACAAAAAAATTGTCTCAGTTTGAATGTCACCATGTCTGAATTTCTTAAATGCAAGAATGCCTGTAATTAAATACTAGTTTTAAATTCTGGGAACACATTTTATCTCTGTAGAATACAAATACCATTTTACTGGACTCCTGAGCAGTGAAAACTGGCTTATTGGTGTAAAGTACTTGCTCTTTTAAGAATAATCATACTAGTGAAAATTTCTTGTCATTTTTACGAGCTGAATCTAGGTCCTCAGCAGATGATAGAGATGGCTGACATGTCCTTCCTCTCAGCTACAGAAAGCAGATAAGGCCTGCGAGCACCAGGGCTGCCCCTCTTTGTGAGAAGAAGGCAGTGTCTAGACCCCAAGTTTGGGAGAGTATCCTATCTCTGATGGAAGTTGATCAGACATTTGGTATATGAATGGTGCTCAGGACTTGACAGTAAATAAGGGGACAATCCATTCCCCTTGCTAGGGCATGTGTTCAGCATGACTTTAAATGCTGTGGGTGACAGAAGCCTGGTGATTGATGAGGCTGGATCAGTGGATGTGGAGCAAGGAAGCAGCTCTGCTTCTGGCAGGAAGAGCATCTCCAGAACGCAGCAGGCTGACAGGGTCTGCAGACCTGTCTGGTTTCAGATGTGCCCTGTAACAGCTCTGGCAGTGATTGCTGTGAGATAATAGGTTGGATCCCTCTTCCAAGGTCTCTTATTTGAAACACTAGTTATAAATCTATATTGATGCCCTGTCCACATTCTAATCTTTCTGACATTACTGATCAGACTCCCCAAGAAAATAATTTGTAAAAGTTCAGGAAAAATTTTAGAAAAAAAACCCAATTCCGTTATAAATTTTGAATAATTCTGTTTCTAATATTTCATTCACTTGCTGCTAACTTTTCTGATAGGAGAAAGGAGATACAGGTCTTATTCCTTTTGTTCTTATTGCATTTTATTTTTAGGCTTTTTATTTAAAAAAACCCCTATTTTAATAACATTGTGTTGTACAACAGAAGGCCATTCAAAAAAGTTAAGTGAGAAGTCCATGTAGTTTTTTCTTTCAAAAGTGTTTTCTGTACCTGGCCTATGTATATTATCCATTTCTTAGTCACACTTAGGACTGAAACACCTCCTTGAGAAGAAATGTCCAGGGCAGCATTTCAGAGCAGAACGCTTACTGATGTGTCTTCAAAGTTATTAAGCTATTCTTGTTATTCTTCGTCCTATTATTTTAAAATGCATCTTTATCTGTGAGACCATACTGAAGCTGTTCACTGTGTTACCCGCAGCAATGTCTAATATTCCTACCTCAGGTCATTTTGTAAAAGAACATTAAAA